GGAGATCACGCTATCGCCCGGCCGGGAGCGCGGGGAGTGCGGGGGGCCGGGAGAGGCTGGCCCGGCGGGGGCGGCGAGGGCGGCGGGGAGCAAACTTAACTGCCGGCTCTTTTTCTCCGCCGGGCCCTCGCCCCAGGGTCGGCGCCCGAACGTCAGCGCCGCCGCCTCCCCCGCGGGCAGCGGTGCTACCTCTCGGCGTCCGGCAAGCGCCCGGGCCCAGGATTCCCCTTCTCTCTGCCCCCGCGCACGCCGCCGCGTTCCGCCCCGCCACAGAGTCCCCGCCGGGCGAGAGCGGCTCCACATCCGGGTACTGACGCACCCGATGCCGGAGCTGCAGCTTCTCAGAGTGACTAGGAGGGGTATCCTCAAGCAATAATAGAATGGAAAGCGTTTCAGAGAGCCGCGCGATTGAGGAAAGAAAGGAGAAAAAAATCGATCCCTAAGCGTCTCTCCCGGGCCCAACGAGAGTGCGCATGTTCACAGCCAGGAAAAAGGGGTGGAGGTCCGGCCCCGGCCTGGGGCGACGGAGGGGCGGATCCCTGGAGTTGTCGCCGACCGGTGGTGCGGCGCGCCCTATTGGCTGTGAAGAAAGGGGCTAGGAGCTCCAACGGGCGGGCCCGGAGGTGGGGCCGGAAGAAGTGAGGATTGGTGTGCGACTCGGCTGCTGAAACTGTGTAGCTATGATGAGGTCAGTCTTTCATCACATTCTGGTGTATCTAAGTGTATGGTGTACATAGTGTGAATTTGGGATTCCATATTGTTTTCATCCTTTTTTTAAAAAACGGTCGTGGAGAATAGGACAGATTATCCCGTTGCAGTCGAGTCGATTCCGACTCACAGCGACCCTATAGGACGGAGTGGAACTGTCCCATAGTTTCCAACGAGCGCCTGGTGGATTCGAAGTCTCGAATTTTTGGTTAGCTGCGGTAGCTGTTAACCGCTACGCCAGCAGAGTTCCCGGACAGATTATAGGAGTGGTTAAAGGCGACCTGCATTTTTGTATGTGTAAATTGAAAACACTTCAAACCAGAGTGGGTGATTAGTGTGTTTTTAAGTTAAGCAGAACGGTACTGAATGATACGAGCAAAGGATAATGTCTTTTGGAAGGTTTGCCTTGGTTTAATGCGAAGTCAAGATGGTAAATAGGCTCTAAACAGCACAAGCTCCTGGGAAAGATAGTTTCCAAGTACTTGCCCATTGATAACTACTCCCGCCCACAACATAATTCAGCCCCTAATTGCAAAATGCAACCTTGAGAGGAAGATAAGAGGACTGCAGGAGTGGTTTCTGGCTGCAATTACTTAAATGACACTATGATGCGTAGGGTTTAAAACCATTGTTCTCAAAGCCCAACACAGATGCATTGTTGGTATAAACTGTTGATTTTTGCTAGAGTCTAAGGAAAAGGGAGCCCTGGTGGTACAGTGGTTAACGGCTGTTAACCAAAAGGTCGGCAGTTTGAATCCACCAGCCTCTCCTTGGAAACCCTATGGGGCAATTCTACTCTGTCGCTATGACGGCAACGGGTTTTTTAAGGAGAACGGAATACTCCAGCAGAGTCAGATAATCAAGTGGAAAGACAAGTGAGTGTAAAATGCAAGCAATGAATTGCTATGTAGTGAAATAAGTAAAGTTTTCTTAATTTTTCATGTAAATAAAACTAACTGAAGAAAATGCCAATTATGAAGTCCAAATAGAGCTAAATTTAGAGACTAAACAGAATTAAAATATTTGCTCAGAAATACGCCAGCTTTTTTACTGTCTTTCAAAATATTTTCACCCTGGAAATGTTAAATGTGCTACTGCCAGAGTTACTCTACTGCAGCTATTGGGTTAAGAACGGTGTTAACGCACATTGCGGGAATTGCAACCAATGTCACAAAACAATTTGTGTATACATTTTTGAATGAGAAGCGAATTTGCACTGTAAACTTTCACCTAAAACACAATAACATTTTTTAAAAATTGTAATTTAAATATTAAGCTTTGGAAAAAGAAAGAATACGGTTGTGGATTTCTACTCTACCAACTCTGCATGCTCTCTTTGGGATCTTTTCTGGTTTCCTTCTTTCTTTGTTAGCCAGTTAAATTGATCACATGAATTAATAATTTGATAAGATTCTAGAATAAAATATAGTCACTGTTATACTTGTGGTTGACTTTGTAAGATAAATTGATTCAAGTAAAGGCCAGCTGAGATGTCAGACCCTTAATGGTGCAATCTTGCATGTTACATCAGTAACGTTTAATTGTTTTATATTTACTATGGCATAGTCTAATATTAAAATAGGCCTTTATTTTTAGTAAAAGAAAAAAAAATCCTTTGCCATCAAGTCGGTTTTGACTCATAGTGCCAGAGATTAATTACAATACCCTTGAATTTTATTTGGCCTTAGATGATCTGTACTTCCTTTCAATGGAAAAAGATCTTCAGAGTGATCTAACCCAGAGTTTTTCTGCCCCCGCAACCTCTTTTGTTCTTATGCTGTGTATTTGATCTATAAGAAGAACCAGGTGTTCTAGATGAAGCAGTAAGGCTGGAGCCCACCTGTGATCTTCCCTTCCCCCTGCATTTTCATGGCTTCGACAGCAGCAAACAACAACAGCAACAAGACCTCATCGAAACATCTTGAGTACAATTTAGCACAAGTATGAAAAACTAAAATTAACCTGATCCCCAAACTTAAGGTGAAGAAAATGGGACCAGGGCTGATTAATTAACTTGTCCAGGATTATGGATGAAGGTCAGAGATAGAGCTAAGACTATAACCCGTCTAGTGCTGTGTGTATTTCTCTTTATTAAACACTCCCTTATCCATCCCTTTAATACCAGTATATTGTGAACTTATAACACTGTCATGTTACTGAGACTTTTCCAAGACCCTTAAATAAATGTAGTTTACCAATACAGTTCTCTAAATATTTTGAATCATATATACTTTCAGTACAAAATTTTGAACACGTACTTCCAATATATATTCTTCTTTATGTATAAATTATATACATATATACACCACTACCATGTTATATATAAAACATACTCAAAAGTAAAAATGATAAAAGACTGAGATATCAAATATATAGAGAGAAGGTTTTTATATTTTTCCCTCACCCCAACAGATCATCTTCTGCATCCCTAGGCATTTACACTGGTAGTCTCCCACGGACAAACCCCACTTTGGAGACCATGATGTTATTAATGTGTCTATCATGTTTGGAACCTAGTCAGTTTGTACATATGTTTGCTTATCTATTTATTTCAAAACATTTAGGGTCATTCAAAACTAGTAAGATTTTTATTCCAACCATAGATAAGATACAATGAATCTTTGCCCCCAAAAGGAGGTAGTTTTACAAGTCACCTACTACTCTACTACTATGAATGAATTTCTGGCTGCTTACAGACTATAAAAAATATATAGTATTTGGAAAGTAACTTTATTAGTCAGAATAAATCCATCTGTGATAACAAATAAACCCCAAAACATATAAAGGTTCAAATACAGTAGATGTTTATATCCCGTTCATGTCATAGCCTAGGGCTTTCCTCCACACGGTGATTCAGGGATTCATGTTTTTCCATTATCCCCTTAGATATTATGTCTAGCTGAAGAAGGGGGCAGGGAGGAGTGTAAAGGGAGCACACCACTTCTTAAAAGCTTTGGCCCCAAAATGGCATATTTCCCTTCTGTCACATTCCATCATCTAAAATTCAGCCACATCTGATTGAAAGGGAAAAGAGATGTAGTCTGCCTGAATGCCCAAGAAGAAAATAATATCAGTTAGTGTCCATTTAGAAAAACATAAATCACTAAGTATTTCAAACAAAAGAAATTTACTACAGTGAATTGTTTGCGAAAGTGTTGGCAGGGCTACAGAAGCAAAAAGATAGGTAACTGCTGGAAAACACTACTCCCCAAGACTAGAGGAGCAAAAGAGAAAGGGTGTTACCTAGGGCTCATACTGAGCATTTGAGACTGCTAGAACAACTGTTGCAAACGTTGAAAGTACTATTGCTTTGCAGTGAGCCAGGAGCCCACAGTCGCACTGAAGCTGCAGAGGACCAGGAACCTAAAGTCACCTACCATTGTCACAACCTCTGCCAAAGTCAGAGCCCCATGAGTACAGGCCACACTTTGCCACTGCAGCTACTAAAACTACCCAGTCTGCATAGGAACCCAGAAACTGCTGGAAGCTTCTTCATCAGAAGCAAACAAAAAATGGCTTTTCCTGTCTTCTGTCTCCCATCAGTCTTAAAGAAAGTCCATTACTGTATCCATGTTGTTGCTCTTAGGTGCTGTCGAGTCAGCTCCAACCTGTAGCTATCCAACGTACAAAAGAGCAAAACACCACGCAGTCCTGCGCCATCCTCACAATCTTCTTTTTTTTTTTAAATTGTACTTCAGGTGAAGGCTTACAGAACAAATAGTTTCTCATGAAACAGTAGTACACATATTGTTTTATGACACTGGTTAACAACCCCACAACCTGTCAACCCTCAACCTTTTTTTTTTGGTGAAAATACACATAG